AGTGTAAACACAATGGCCCCGTCCGTGTAATATATTTTTAAACTTTTAGTTTAAAAATAATAAAAAACTTAAACAACCTACAGTATTTTACAGTCTTTATTTTACAGYTAAAATATATGTTTATCAAATAAAGTCTAATGTTACAACTAATCATGGATCCCTTTAAAGAAGAACCCGTCCAGAGGACCTACTTATTTGACTTAATTTTTGCTTTTTGATTTTTCTTCCTGAATCACTGAGATGTGTTAGGCTGTATTACTGCTATGTTGTCACAGTCTTTCAGTTTTAGCCATATTTGTCATTTTATCTTGTAAAACATTCATCCTGATTTGTTCACATGTGCACTCACTCATGTTTGCGCTCACTTTCATTTGGTCTTATGTACAGTTTGTTCGGTTGCGCTCACTCTCAGTTGGTCTCACACAGAACTCATTCAGTTGGGCTCATTCTCAGTCGGTCTCATGCACGGTTTCCTCTGACCTGACTTGCACATTTCCATTCAACTTTTGTATGTTTTGGCACTTTATATGTTACTTTTTAACTCAGCTACTAAGAGGTGTGTCTATTTTGACATTACCAATACATGTTCACACAAAAAAATAATAATTTTATAAAACTGAAAAATGAACAAGTTATACCAGGAATACCTCTGGATTGAGTCAGTGGTTGATTGATGGCCCCAACAACACTGCCCTATAACAGAGAGATTTTAGTCAGACTCAAACTACTACACAGCACAAAATATTAGAAATACGTACTTTATGAGCCACAAATTCATATGGTGGGGTTCACTACTATTAATGCTTACCATTTTGGGAGATATTAGAAATGGAAAGATGGACCCCTGGGTGGTTAGGTCTCTCAGAAACAAACTACCCAGCTGAACAGAGAGTAGTGACGACTCTGAACGAGGGAGAGACTCAACTATTACCTTCACCCCTGTGAAAATGAGGGGACAGGAAATTAAAATTGTGTAAGTAGACAGGATTTACAATGCAAGGGCCAATTATTYATGTATAAAATCTAACAATAAAATAACTGTAGAGTAGTTTGAATTTAAATATACAAAACAAACAACTGTTGGTTGATTTCTTTCTTTTGTTTSTTTACTTAGACACTGAAAGCAATCTGTGTTGGCACTGCTTGGGTATACCTGAGAATTCCAGCTGGATGAGGCCACTCTCATGCAACGTGAGCCCCTTTCTGTCTTGCTGGAAGAGCGTTACGCTGCCTTTTTCTAACAAGAACTCCAGCCGCGCAAACATGTGATCTCGCCTGGTGAATGTGTTCAGACTGTAAGAATCTTCCAACGGGTCAAACAAGTCCTCTGTCTCTGCTGGAGAAACATAAAATGGTAAATGGCTTGAACTTTCATGTCRACAGGCTCCAAAGCACTTCCCACTACAGTCATTMAYCAATTCACACACTAATGGTAGTAAGACACACTGTAGCCACAGCTGTCCTTGGGCAGGCTGTCATGCAGGGGCAACACCAGGCCCTCTKACCACCACCAATAGACAATGTGGGTGACGTTTATGGCCCGAGAACACATCAAACAAAGCAGGGGTTTGAACTGGCAAACCAGGGCAACTACCCAAACCACTCTTCCACGGCTGCCTTGGCCAAGGTCAGTGSTTATCACATAATAAATGAGAGTTTATACCAATAATTCGAAACGTTGTTTGATTTGACAAAYTAACTGAAACTGAATCCTATAAGGGGATTTAAGTTTGTCAAAGAAACCCTCCTATGACACCAGTGATCAGTGTGTTCCTGACCTAGAATGTCCCAGGTCGAAGGACTTGGCAATAGCTCTTCAGGTCTATCTGGATCTTGGGWATCTCCATGCCAGCCCCCCCACCCTGGGAACCAAGACTGGAGGTACTGAATCATCCTTGAGCTGCCACTTTTTGGAATTGATGCGCTGGGTGGAACAGGCTGAGRGTCATTGTTTGGCTCTCTGGAATTCTTTAAGAACAGACAGAAGAAAAAATTAATTTAGAGTAAATGCTTAAGATACATTTTTGCAAATTCATGTTTTATACAGCAGAAATCTGAGATGAAATTAGGTTTAAGATAGCATAATGGGCCTTTATTCTTAAAAGGGCAAACCAAAATCCTTGTGCATTGCTGACCTTTTTTGTTATTTGTCACWTAATCTTAAATTAAATTATACCGGGCATTATTGAAATCTCAAGGTTAAATAAATAAACMCTGATCTGGGAGATGAAACGTCCAGATTTTAATGAATATATCAAATAAGTCAACAGTCAGATTCTGAGCACAAACAGGCTGTTGTACTTTTGATCAATAATATACTTAGAGGAGATTTTACTTTTACCAAAGTTATCTTATGGTAAGATACTTATAGTTTTACTCAAGTATCACTTTGTCGTACTTTGTACAACAATGGCAGCTGTTAATAAATGTATAAGTTGGGGTCTTTTTGAAGAAAAAAATGGTGGAACATCACTGATGTAGTGCAGGGATAGTCAATCCTGTTCCTCCAGGACCGCAGCCCTGCAYGTTTTACTTTATTCCCTTCTCTATCAMACCTGATTCAGTCAGTGAATTACCTCTTCCAGGCTCTACAGAAGCCTGATAATCATCCATTCATTCAAATCAGGTGTGTTGGAGCAGAGAAACAAGTAAATAATGCAGGGCTACGGCCCTGCAGGACCTGCAGGACCAGAACTGAGTATCCCTGATGCAGCGTATGTATATTTAAATACTCTAACTGACAGATTAGGCTTTATAAATAGATTCATAAACAACTATAACAATAATAACAAAAAGGCACATCAGTARTGGTTGTCTATGCACAGTTAATAAAAAATGTACACATTATGTAATTGTATACAGCTCTTTAMAATCATGCTGCTGCATAAACAGACCTCAGCTGTCTGTTCCTGTTTTAAAATCCAGTCATGGACGACTTCTCTGAGGCTGCATAGCTCCTCCAACGTCTGCTCCTCTTCTATTCGATCCAGTTCACTCTAGATGAAAAATACCAGTGACAAAAGTGGTTTTTATTATTTATTCAGTTTATTTTTACTGCACTAATTCACAACAAGTTTTCTTTCACGAGGTTAAAAAAATCCGTAAAAAACACATCACTGCCTTGAGATCAGGACACAAAGCAGTGTACAGTGCTACCACAGTACTACCACAGTGCTACCACAGTGCTACCACAGTACTATCACAGTGCTACCACAGTGCTACCACAGCTGAACTGGAAAGCAGCATTAAAGCTGAATTTATCCTCCAGAAGTGAAGAAATCTGCTTTARCTGACATAATTGCRAGAAAAAAAATGCTGCATCTGTTCTTGTAGGAGCTCCGAGAGCCTCTTCTCAACACATCCAGTGGGGTTTGCAACAACTATTGTGTGACTAGATATGTGAAGTGCAACGTGAAATGAGGTTTCTTGATGAACCCAGACTGTTCCAGCAGCAGCATAGGAACCAATGTGGTTGKGGTCACACCAAAAGTATTACATGCAAGGAGCAAACATTAATGWTTCAATTCCAACCTTTGCAGCTTGTGACCTCTAAGGCCAGTATGCTGTGTCAGTGCTGTTTAAGACTCTGTGTAGTGTCATTCCTACAGGATTACTGACTCCTTTCTGTTGTCACTCAAACGCCCTCAGTTCACATTCTGTTTCACCTCTCTGTTCTCAGCTTAATGTAAATCAACTTTTTACCTGATTAAATCACCAGTTCCTGGGAAGGAACAAAAAAAACCTTGATAAAAAAATATTGATGTTCCATTTAGAGTTGAWGGTGTTGAGATTTGTAGAGTGAGTGAGGTGAAGTTTCTGGGTGTCCAAAAGACAAAGTTGGTTGCTTCTTCGTTGATTAGTCATTGTTTATGAAAAGGGTTCCCTGCAATCTTAAAAYCTCACACTTTAGTGATGAGTCTGATCACACAGGCTCATCACTAAAGTGATCTGATCAATCTTTTTGTCAAAAGGTTGACAAAATGATTGATCAGAGAAATATGATCTGGTGCCCCAACCAGTAAAACAGTGTAGCAGAGTGTTGAAACAGTATCATTTTTCTGTTTCTCCCCTCATTTTTTGTGACAAAAACCAAAGGACGACATTTGTCCACTCAACGGGGCAGAGGTAGAGGTAGCGGTAGAGGTAGAGAGGGTGAACCGTTGCACAAATCTTGGTGTGACCGTTACACAGGACCTGTCAACGTCGCTCCATGTTAACCTAACAGAGACATGGTCTTTTTCATCTTATGCTGCGTTCACACCAAAAGCGATTTCAGAGGCAAGAAYGTTAAAARCGTTTCAAGTTRGACGCTTGTGCACTTAGAGGTCAGATGCTCATCAAAATTGATCTTGATGCAAGTCACACGCATCGAGAGTTTCTTGTCTTCCTCCCCTGCCGGTCTCTGTTTAATGGAGGATAAAATAAAGAAAGTGGCTTTGCTTTATTTACTGAGAGCAAGAGCATATTGCGCTCACCAGATAATTAATTCATAAATAATTAACCAGATAATTCAGAGATGGAAAATGCATCACTATGTCACATAGTGGAGTCTTTCTGATTGGTCAAGTTGTTGCTTTGAACTGCAAAATTTCAGATTTTCCACCACCAGCGTTGGACGTGTGTCAAGCGCGCGGAATATTCAAAACATTCAGCACTAAACGCACTAGACGTGCCACAACACTGACGCACGTCCAGCATAGACTATGAATGTAAACCTGACGCTCAGAATACGTTTGGTGTGAACGCAGCATCAGGCCTACAGAGACTCCAGGCTCCCTCTCCAAGGTGCTCAGGAATTTCTACATGTGCATCATCAAGATCATCTTAAGTGAAAGCTTCACCATTTGGATGGGTAGCTGCACCAAAGAGGAATTAGAGGTGTCCCGATACCAGCATCAAGTACTCGTACTCGTAAAAGCCGGCCGAAACTCTTAACCGATAC